CATTTAAATATTTCTTTTATTTTTTCCATATGTTGTTGATACTCTGTACCGCGAGATATAAATCAGTATCGAATAATTCAAAAGTCTTTGCGTTTTCTTAAAAATTAATTTTTTTTCGAAAAAGTGAAGATAGCTGAATACGTTGGATACTTACTACATATTAAGTATATTAACACTTTGCTCTTTAGTAATTCTTATTGAATACTTCATTTGTTATATATGCATATTAAATACAAAGTAAAGTAAAGATAAAAGATAAAAGTGATCGAGTAAAAAAGTAAGACCATAAGATGTTTGACAAAGTCTTTTTTTGGCTTGATATTATTTAATTTTTTAAATGCAAAGTGTTAATAATAGGTTCGTCGATTAGATCAAATATCTCTTGAGGCATTCAAGTTAATGTAACTGTACAATTTGTATTRTAAAATGCGCTTAGAAAAAGCCTTACAGCAGAATTTAGGGCATGAAAAAAGAAGAGGCTAATTGCCGAAGAGGCCCCCACTTAATTGTTGCTGAAGAGGGCAACTACATAGACTATTGAGTTATTTTCAAAGTTTCAACAGCGTGTTTGAACTTTTCGAGAATAGCTCTATAGTCATACTTTATATTTTATTATATTACTTTCTTGCTCGTCAATAATTTGTGGTTGTAATTGGAAATGATTGACCATTCCATCTCCTTGGGATACCAAATTTGTGTCCATCAAAATCGTCAAAAAGATGCATATGAGTTAGAAATATTACAATTTTTGTATTATTAAATTTTCAAGCTTAAATAACATTCGGTAAATATTACAGTAATTTCTCTTTTCTTGTTTCGTCTTTAAGATGCCGTCGTATTTTATTAAACTTGTAATTTTTTTTTCTGTGTGTATAATACAGTTTAAAAATATTTCATAATAATTAATAGATTTTATTATTTTTAGTAACTTAATATTTGTACTTTTCTTTTTCTTTTATATACATTTATATTTTTTTTTGTAAATGTAAAATCACGCGTTTAAAATTAATTTTCCTTGCATCGGTTAATAGAGATTTGATAAAAGTAAATAGAGAATTCAATTGAAAAGTGCATCTGCGAATTGGACGATTTATATTTCAGRCTATTGTATCACTTGATTGTATGATTAATATAGTTTTCTTCTTGTTACAGGTGATCATCGTTGGATTTAACAACAAACCTCTTAGATTTCTTCTATTTGAACGCCTTAAATGAATACTTTTTAAAATATATTTATAAATACATTTCTGAAGGCGCTCACATCTTTATACAATTACAAATAAATTTAATTATTTAAAATTCTACAATCAAATTTTACTATCAAAGAATGTATCATATACATATTACCATATATTTTCCAAAAAGACTGTATTCTTTGATAGTACTGTACCGTCATCGCATTAGTTACCAACGATCGCTTACTGGTGGTACTGGTAGTAACTAAAATGAAACTAGGTAGATAAAGAAGGGAACTTGTGAGCTTTTAAATACTTCTGTATTCTTTGTTATTATTGAACTTCAAGAACTTAAATAATAAACAATAATAAAAAAAACAGTTATACATATTCGATCAATCACATTTCTTTTATTTGTGTGTGTGGATATTAATATAATATAATATTTTATACTTATTGTTAAATTTATTTAATTTATTACATATTTTGTGTTCATTGATATGTTGATAACCTCAAAGAAGTAGAAGTAAAATAATATAACATTTACATATATATATTATCTCTCTTTAATAAAATTTAAAATATTTTAAATATGCAAGATCTAATTCATCCTAGTGTAAGTTTGCATATTAATTTATCAAATTCATTCTTAATATATAATTATATATATATTTGTACATAAATATTTAATATTTTCTCTATTCTTTTTTTGTTAGTATTATCATATGGAAAAATTAGGTTGCGTTGACCCTATAAAAATTTCAAATGCATTTTATGTATATATGCAATTATGCGAAGGTAAGAATAAAAATATACGATTATTAATTTCATAAAATATTTTAATGCGATTGAGAATATATTTTTATAGCTAAGAGATTTTGGTACGTGGATTATAAATATAATCAGGATCTAGATTTACTTTATTTAGAAACTAAAAGAAGTAAAAATTCAAATCTTGAAATTTATGTACCATGGCCTATATCATATTCATTAACCATAGATCTAATTGAAAAAATACAGCAGAAATTAGAAACAGAACGGTAAAAATAGATATTTTTTTACATACACTTTTTCTAAATGTTCATTGAAAATTATAAATTTCTATTACAATGATAAGATAAATCTAAATTTGTACCGAATAACAGAATTATATGATTTCAGAATAACATTTGTATTTAAATCTCCGGACAGTACTAGCGTCTTTTATAGTGTTAGTAATGGTCTTGTAAAACCGGTGTCTCCAGCAATGAGAAAACTATTAAGAGAAAAAGAAGAGAAAAGAATAGCATTGGAAAAAAATATCAAGAAAAATACAACTAATTTATACGAATTAGCAAAATCTATAAACACAGAAAATAAAAGCATTGATCTTCAAATGACAGATAATAGCGAAATTAAAAATGATGAACCGATTGATGAAACTTCATCTGTAATAGAAGTATAATTTGAAATACTTAAGTAATTTCTTTATATTTTAATATGTATATATCTATTTAAATCTTTCGATACTCTACTGGTGACTATAGTTATGCAATGTTTGAGACTCATGACGTACTACCAGTGAATATAGTCACCCAACATTATATGCTCACTGTATATTAACAGTAATTACAATTATTCAATGTCATGTCTTCGCTGTATACTAATGGTGATTTTAGTCACCTAATATCATATGGTTACTGTTTACTAACAGTAACCATAGTCATCCAACATCATTGATATTTTGCTTCGGTTTACTATTTTTAAGATCTGAATGTCTTAGAATGCATTACATTATAATATCCTATCTTTTATCTACTTTGTAATAGAATGTACATTTGCGTTGTGACTGGCTCGTATAGTATTACCTTATTCATGATGCAAATATGTGTACAGCGAAAGCATACTCGCGAATAACATAGTCATATCAAAAAAGTTAAATATAAATATATGGTCTTCCATAATTTGTGTCATATTTCTTTTCAATATATTGTCTGATTTCTTGCATAAAAAAAGTAGAAAATTTTTTCATTGAAAATCGACAAGATGAAGATAAATTGATGGCAGTAATAATCAATAAATTATTAAATAAATAAATTACTTTGCAAAATTATTATGGTGATTTAAATTAATTTTAAAATATGACAGAAATTATTCAACAACTTAATTGAATTAAACTTCTTTAATGTGTTCGCTATTAGTATCAACTATCTGTGATAGACCAATTTTTGTTTAATTTATATATTACAATATAAATAAGATATATTTTTTTTACTACTTTCCCTTTTTTATGGGTTTGAGGGAATTCTTACATCTTTGCACAAAGTTTTCCAAAGTAATCATCTAATTAAATACCAATTCTATGTCCATCGTTGCTTAACTTCGATAATCCAATGGGAAATAGTTTTTTTAATTTTTTCAATAAGGCAAGACTAGCCATTGATTATAAATGAAATGTTAAATAAACAACACAAAAGATACATTATTCAAAAATTTATTCTTGAATCGTGTAATGTTTATATATATAAGTATATATATATATGATCATAAATTTGAAGAGAATATCACTAAGAATTATGTAATGTATTAATGGTGATATGTAGTAAGCTGCCACTGTAAATATATGTATCAAATAAATAAATGTTTAGAAATCTTTATACGTGTGTATGTCTTATTTTATGATAATAGTTCTTTAAGACATTCTAAATTCTACAAAATACGAGGCACATACTACATTTTTATTTGTTATAACACATAATCGTAAATCATAGCAAACGTATTAATAAAAAAATTACTACTTTATATCTTAGTAGCACTATTTACGTACTTATATATTTATATGTATATATATATATATAAATAAGTACCCCGAACTCATATGTGCTATTGAAAATATTTCATTCGTTAATTAAAATTTATCTACATGGCTGTAACATGTAAATGTATTATGTACACCTTCCAAACAATATTTTTGAAATAATATGCAATTAATTATTTTCTTTGCATACTCTTTAAAAAATATAAAAATTGAAATATTCCTTTAACGCTCATAATACATTTTAATTAATGTTTCATATGTTGATTATAAATCATAGTATAAATGAAAAAAAGAAGATCTTATTATTTTTATTATGCGAACAATTTATCGTGATAAAAATGATTTACTTTGATAGTCGAAATCTGTAAAGTAAAATATTTCTGTGTGTCATATGTACGTATATGATAAAGTACGATGAATTACATTTTCTTTTTTAATTATTCTTTTTTTATCATTTCAAAATGCATTTATATTATTCTGATCGTATTTTTATATCAGTATGCGTTAGGCTCATGGCACTTATATATATTAGAAACCTTGTGATGATCTTTCTCGCTACTTTTTATTTTATACTTACTTTTTTGTTATTATAATAAAATGTGTGTGTGTGTTTGCTTCTAATAAGAAGTAATATTTTTCTATAATATTATTGATTATGCGTGAAATTTGGTTCCGCTGGGTGTTACAAATGTTACTACGCTAGATTGTAGTAATTTTTTTGTTGGAATAATACAACAGCACGCAGTTTTGATATACAGGGTGTTTCGTTATTACGAAATTTGTGGAGCGAACTTCAAAAATGAACAAGGAGCACAAAATCGATGAAAAAAGTTCATTTAAAAATGTATCCTACATATTTGATCTTGATTCAAAGTTATAGCTACTTTTGTTACAATAAGAAAAGTACTCAGAAAGTACTAAAAATGATTATTCTCGATCTGTATTTGTATTTATATGCTTCTATGTTTTGCGGATATTTCTTGTCTTTCTTAATGTTACACATTTTGTTAATTGAATTTAGTTGTTTCGATTTAATCAGTTCAGTTTTAATCTTCAATTCTCCTTACTTCTTCTCATTAATTTTTATTTGCTCTATTTATTAAAAAGTTTCAAGTGCGTAATTAGATTTTTATTTCTGGAGTCATTTGAAAATAATTGTGTATTTGACATACATTGCCAGTATTGAAGAACTTTGAGCATGTATAGAAAAAAAAATTATTAACAGATTCGACGCACACCTGGAAGTTTTGAAAAACTGCAAAATTCAATGATACAAAAACAATTACAAGTTTGGATACAAACCAAAGGTAATCATTTCGTGCACTTTCTATGAAGATAAATGTCGCGGATAATTGGAATATAAAAGTGTCTATTATTACTTTGTAACAAGATTAAATAGGTCACATATTTATATGAACTATTCTTATTATTTTTGTGTCCTCTATCCACACATTAGAAACACCCTGTATATGAGCACCTTCTTACAAACAGGGTTCAATTATAATTTACAAGACTTCTTTATAAAATAGATACCAAGTTATTACTTTATTAGAGCAGTAAGGCATCTAAAATTCGAGATTTAACTCGAAACTATCACATGTCATTCGGTTATTATTATTTTCTTTTTATATATTGCTATAAATTTTTTTTTGAATATAATTTTTATCGTTTTGTTCTGTTTTCTTTTTTTTTCTTGCTATTGTTATTGTTGTTTTATAAAAATCATAATTACAAAATCAGTTTTTTAATGTCGAAATTTACACTGTAAGAATGTTTCAAAGTAAGTATGTTTAATCTTGAAGTATATCACAGAATTCTATATAATAAAATCGTGTTTCGTATAAAATAATAATAATGATATACATTAATTTTCATTTAATATTTATATATATATATATATATATGAGTGTTTAAACATTGTGAAAATAAACAAGATAATTTTAATAAACATTAGATATCGCAATGTTAATATTTAAATTTTCGTTCGAACAATTTTATACGAATAGAAAAGAAAACGTATATTAGATTTGTCAAGTCCAATTCTAATATATCTTTTATCGAAGGCGTATAAAAAAATAAAATTTAACGTAAATCAAAAATGAACTTATAGTAAGGAGAGTTAATATTACCGCAACGTATTGAGAAATCATAGTATACAATAATAAAACAACAAATACTGGTTTCGTATGACAAATTTAAAGAGTATGTATCGTTTAATATTAATTCTCAATTGCCATGGACGAATGGCAGATTATTCGTATGTTAAATTCGTTTGTGAAATTAATATTTTATTATTTAACGTAATACGTATACCATAAAAATTATTTAATATATGACATACGAGTTGATACAAGTTATATAAAAATATTAAAAATAATGCACGAATTACTTCCCAAAAAATTAAAATGTAATACACTTAGCTCTCAATTATTATTATTATTATTATTATTATTATTATTATTATTATTATTAATATTATTATTATCAAAAAGTACAAAGAATTTACATTAAAAAATAAAGATTAACAATGATACGAAGATGCACATACTAGAAGTTGGACTTGAAATTATTTTTTCTTTTCTTTTTTTGTTTAATATGTGAACAATTTTAACTTCATGGTCTAATAAAGAATCATAGTAATACTACTCTTTGAAAGATACCTTTGTAAAAGATATAACGCATAAATACGAAATACGTAGATATACATGCGCTTAAACATGATTATATGCAGTTAAAATAAAATAAATTGTGAGCGAATAGAGCATACGGTTATATAAAACAATACACACGTGACATTTATTTATTATTTTTTTTTCAGACACAAGTAATATTTGCCGTCAAATTATGCTGTCAACTTTATCGTAAATAAACGAAAGAAAAAAAGAAATTAAAATTCATCTCTCTATCGAAATGATAGTAAGCCACGTTAGATACCACATTATTTTAGTATTTAAAGTATCGATTGTTAATTTCTCGATCAACAAATTTATATTACGCTTATTTAGTCGTTTCCATTCGATATCGTATTAACGCTAATAATCGTAAGAAATTTTTTTTTTATTTAATTTTCGACCGATGTATAAAATCTTACAATTAAAAAACGATAATTTTTTGTCAAACATAAATATATCATCATTGTGCCACGATTTAAAGAAAATAGCCATTTGTAAGAAAATAAAATAAGAAAAGAAAAGAAAATAAAACAAAGTTATACTAATAATAATAATAATAATAATAATAATAATAATAATAATAATAATAATAATAATAATAATAATGATGATACAAAACAAATTATGTAGTGTTTGCGTGTGATTAAATGACGTGCCTTACTTTCAAAAATGTGTGCAATGTGATTCTAATGTGATCATCGTAAATGACCAGTGCTTAAACGTGTCTGTTGTACACAATATACTTATATAATTTTATATGTAAACTATTCTTTCTTATATTCTTCATGCACTTAATGGGAAAGTTTTGTTTATTATTTAAAAATGCACATGCAAATAAATGTATTCCTTGTCTCGATAATATTTATCTACATCTCTCACTCTCTTTCTCTCCCTCTCTCTCGCTCGCTCGCTCTCGAATTATATATATGTATATCATAGTTGACGATAGTAATTTAAAAGTTACTTATTTTTATGTTATTTTTGTTTGTATATTTTTTTTTTCGTTTTTCCTTTTAGATATATATGTTTTTACTAACATATACATGTAATATAAATGTTACTACGAATCCTATCATTTTGTTGTTGTTCATATATTGGTTTTCAAGATAATTGATTATATTTTAATAACTTACGCGATGCGAACAAAATAGAATAATATAGCCATACATGTATATGCTTGGCACTAATTGTAAAATAAAATTTCTCTCTTCTATAACATAATTCAGATGAAAATCCGAGATTCAATGGTAAATCATAAGTTTACAGAAGTTTTGATTTCTATTAAGAATAAAATAATTATTGTAAAAAGCACAATGCATCAATCTTCTTTCCATAAGAATTTTCATTCTTTTTTCCTATGTTTCTTGATGTAATTTAACATAGTTTAATCTAAATTATAGGATACAAATAATGATGATCTATTATTGGAAGAACATAAAATTCCATATTACTATAGTTAGCACCAATCAGCCATGTATGTGAAATCTTTGAAGAAGCTTTGTTCCATATCGCTGAGAGGTCTGGGATCCTTAGGCGGAGTGAGTTGTGGCTTTTCTGATGTAAATTCTTCGTCAAAATTACTAACATCTTCCACAGAATGCTGTATAAAAAAAAAATAAATATATATTTTAATATATCTTTATAATTATAGAAAATATATACAGGGTGTTTAGAAATGTGTGGGATGCATTTCAGACAGTGACAGATTAACACTTTGACTACCATGTTGGTCATATACGACCGGCCACTGTTTCTTCTGTGAAGCCACGGTGGTCATTGATGACCAGAATACTTGAACATTTACAATTGTAAAAATTGAATGAAAATTTACAGTTAGGGTATTTTAAACATTACCGCTAATGAAAATATACTTTGAAATAGAAAGTGCTCCATTGAACAATTATAAATTTTTATCGGAACATCGAAAATGAAAAATTAATTTCTATGAAATCTTGAATAAAATAAAAAAATTACCGTGGCGAAACATGTGAATTCGACGTGGCAATCAAAGTGTTAAGCGGTCAGCAGTCTAAGCGGTCGCGTTGTATCCCGAAATATCAAAGGGTTCTAAATGGGCCCCGAGGTCTTAGAATTTCTTTTCATTATATAGGGTTTGAGAAAAATTACGTATTTTTAATAAATTTAGTTAATGTGTTATGATATGAATTTTTTTTTTACTTATTGTCTGTTAATAACTTAATGAGAGTTTTGTTGAAAATTTTTTTTTAATTTGAGTTTGAAGGCTTCGACATTTTTATCGCTTGGGACCTTCACTTGACTTGATCCACCACTGATTTCAGAAGTGAAAAGAAGATGTAAGGGATCATTTCGAACATCTTCTATGAAAATAAGCTGTCGCGGATTATTAGAACACAAAAGCCAATGTAACTTTGAAACAAGGTTAAATAAGATAGATATTTAAATAAAACTTTTTCATTGTTTTTGTGTTCCTTGCCCACTCCTGAAGTGGGTCGTATATATTAGAAACACCCTGTATATCGTATAAAAACATGTGCAAAAAATCACTTACAATAACTGGTACGAAAGGTGGTTTCACGCGTCTTAATAATAAATCATCCCATGCTATGTGCCTAAAGAATGCTTGTTTTTTAACATCCTCTGCATCTCTTTCACTACTACCTAATCTTCTGTCTGGATTTTTTCTGAGCAACTATTATACATATAAAATAAATTTGAAAAAATGTTTATACATAATGAATAAAATCTTAATCTTGTAATAATAAGAACAATTATCTTACCCTTCTCATTATAGCTATAGCTTCCAAAGAAAGGAATCTTGGGTAACGAACTTCATCATTTACTATCGAATCAAATACTTCTTCTTCGTCATCACCAGGGAATGGAGACTAAATATAAATAAACATAGAGTATAAGAATGAAATATCAATTATAAATTTCGTATGAATTTTGAAATTGTTAATAGTTTTATACCTCTCCAACAAGCATCTCAAATATAAGTACTCCAAGACCCCACCAATCTACAGCTCGTGTATATGATGTCTCAGTGAGAACTTCTGGTGCTAAAAATTCTGGAGTTCCACAAAAAGTCCCAGTTCTGTCGCCGTAACCCATGCCTTCTTTACAAAGTCCAAAATCTGCTATTTTAACATATCCTTCCGTATCCAATAATAAATTATCTAATTTCAAATCTCTGAAAATAAGATTTATTTAATACCATAAACAATCTATCTATGCTGTTATGTTAATAATAAGATATTATTTTGTTAATTTACCTATATATAATCCGACTTTCATGTAAATATTGCAATCCTAAAACAACGCAAGCAGAATAAAATACAGCGCGTGGTTCACCAAAAACGTCTGCATGTATATGCATCATAAGATCACCACCAGCTGCATACTCCATTACGAAACAAACGTGTGCCTATATATAAAATATAAATTACTTTTTAAATTCCACAATTATAGGACATGTGAGATAATATTAAAGAAAAAAGAAGAAGTTCATACTTCGGTTTGGAAACAAGCGAACAAATTCACCAGGAATGGATGACGCGTAGCATTAGCAACTTCAAATATTCTCTTTTCGGAAAGCAGTGATTCCACTTCGTCTCTCGCTATAATATCACCTTTTTTCAACGCTTTGATAGCAAAATATTCTCCTGTATTTCTGTATTGTGACAAAATAACTTTTCCAAAATGACCTCGACCAAGAACAGAGAGTAACCTGAAGTTGTCCAAAGTCATGCCAGTGAGTTGAGAATGTCTTCTAGATTCATATGCGCTATCTCTATATTGCAGAGGCCTGACCGGTAGTTCGTACACAACCTGTAATCGCATAAATTTTAATGAAGTTTTCATTAAAGATAACTTTTATCTTCTATTATTTACAACACAAAATTAATGAGAGTAAGTACAGTAAATTTTTACGAGTAATGAAACAACTTATCAAGTGTCATCAATGTTATCGATGTGATTGTTATGTGATTAGATATAATATGTACATTATTTACATAGTCATTTTAAATAATGAATCCGAAATATATAAAAATATAATACATACGTTAAATATAGCAAAGTTAAGCATGTTAAGCTATATTACCTCATATGCAATGTTGTCTACAAATAACTTAACGATAATGTATACATACATACATAACATTCTCATATCACAAAAATCAGACACTGGCGAAATAAACTTTGATTATATTATAGTTTGATGTGATGATAATATAATGAAACAATAATAAATGGATAGATAATAAAAGAAATAATAAATATTATTAATTGAGCATGCAAATTAATCATGCAATAATTAAAAGTAGATATTTGTGAGCAGGCGTCGGGGATTATTGGATGTCGAATTAAATGATTTTTTGTTTGTTTTTTTTTAATTATGATATTCGTGTACGATAACATGTTTGTACAATAAACAAAGTAAAAGGAATGTTTGTTATGAAATCATCGTTAGTATTGCAACGATTTAAAAAGATACTATAAAAGATCATTTTTCTCGTTTAGAAAATCGTTATTATATGATTTTAACGTGAAAAAGTAAATCAATTAATATAGATGAAAATGATAATATTAATATGAAAATATTAAAGTTTTAGATAATATAAAGTAATATTTCATACTAGAGGTATATACCTCATCTTCAGGAAACTCGACCACGGGTTGGGGCGAGGGTGTGCGTGGAGAGGGTGGTGCAATCAGCACAGGACGGGGCTCTGTCACAAGGGGCCTCAAATTTGCACCCTGAGACCCCCCTTTCTCCTCGTTGTGCAGGAAATCAAACTCCCTTAATGCACTCTGTAACTACATTACTACCTGCTTAGCTCTAAAAGCCTATTTAAAATATTGCGATGTGCTTTTAAATCAAAGATAACTACATTATAATGAATATATATCTATGAACACAATATAATGATATGATATATATATGTAAAATTTGAAAATTTTTCAAGCTTCAAGAATGATCATTTTTTGCAGACGTAACACATTATTTGTAAAAAATAAATCAAATGATATTGTTTCACTGTATTTAAACAAAACAAACATAATTAACGATTGACAGTTTTTTATGACTTAACACAAAGCAATATCACGAAAAAACAAATTAAAGAAATCAGATAACACATAAAATACAATTATAAATTGTCACGATAATATACATAAATTAATTTTATGTATATAATTTATACTTTTTGACTAATAAGAAGAAGTATATAAATAATACAAATATTTTGTATCAATAAATTTGACACAATAAAAAGTGCATTTAAATAAGAGCATGCTTGGTTCAAAAATATGTGCCCTTATACATAAATATATTAAACTCTATTATTAAATTAAAATCAAATAATCCTATTATACTTCTTTTTTAATAAAAATCTAAACCCACAACCAATATCCCAAACCAATAGTCTACTGCCTTCTATAGAAAATATAAAATTCTATATATATATATATATATATACAGGGTGTCCTATAACTAGCAGTACACGCAAGCAGGGGGTGTAATTCTATAATACATGAAAATCTAAGTCGAGAATATAGAATAAAATTAATTCATATAAGGCTTTGTGTTTTCGAGAAAAATAAGTTTAAAAATTATCAAGTACGCATGCACTTGTTTTAGTTTCAGTTCAACGGATATTACTATTTTATTCTCGGATATTACTGAGAATATTTTTATGCTTCTTAATATGTTTACAAACATTGTTAGTATGATGATATCTCTAGTATCAGTTTTACTTTTATGCTCATCGAACAAGGTTTTAATTTTCCAGGGTTTTTAATTGCAAGCTCAATAAAGTGTGCGTGTTACTCAACAAATTTTCAAACTTATTTTCCTTAAAAATAAAACTTTCCATGAAAAAGTTTTTTTCTTCTATATTTTTTCGACTTACAATTAATTTTGTATGTAGAATCATTTCCTGCTCGTTTGTATTATTAGTAACAGAATACTCTGTACATTATCTAAATATTTTTTGCAGCATTTAAAACCAAGATGATATAAAATCTATTCTAAAATAAATTATAAGCGAAGCTATAATAGTTTAATTATTTTAGCCTGAAAATTAATTAGCATCTATTGAGATATATAGGATATCCCAAGATTTGCCAGCCAAACTGCAAGAGTATATTCTATAAGTAGAAATAAAATATAGAAATGTTATTTAAAGTTTGATTTATTATAAAGTTATAAACAAATGAAATTGAAATAGGTCACAGAAGATTTCCCTGAAGAAAGGTACCACACATTTCTCTGTATTTATTAATATTCATTCTTAATCACGAAATTTAGGTTCATTTCGACTTAGGAGTGAATTTCATGATATTTGTTCAGCCCTGGGAAAATAACAATGCTCTTTAAAAATATTAAACTTTGTTGATAATATTACTATGCAAAGCAGCATTCGACGTACTTTTTCATCTTAACTACAGACATCATGAAATACAATTTGAAGAACATTGCAAGCCAATAAAATACTTGCTTATCATTACTCAATTATTCAAGAATTACTTTCAACAGATTACCGGAAACAAGTTGAATTTTGTAATTTGTATGTGAATGCAGTAGGAAGAGATATTACGGATAAACGAAACGATTTTTACAAGACAGAATATATTCAATTCTCATAATAGTCATATATGAGTTTACAATAATTTATATTTCACTCAACGAAGAAACTTTCAGCGCGAAATTTAGTATAATATTTCAATGGATAAGTTTAGTGACCTGCATTAGTCCGTTAAATCTGCTATTACCTATTTCAATTTTATTTATTTATAACTTTAATAAACCGTTTCTTTAACCGAACTTCAAATAACATTCTTTTCTTATTCCCACTTGTATAATATGCTTTTGCAGCTTGATTGGTAAACCCCGGGACACCGTGTATATGTATTTCCATATGTATATATTAACAAATAAATAAAAAATAAATAAATAAATAGCTACGCGATAATACTTATTTTATATTATAAATAATCTAAAAACAAAAATATATATTTATAAATTATGTATAATTCACCTCCTGATCTAATTTTGGTGGTGGTGGTGGTGCTGGCAGAGAAGGTTTCTTAGTAACCGTTGGTGGTGGTGGAGGTGGATGTTCAGGTGGACGTGGCAAAACTGGACTACTAGTTGAAGTTGCCATTCCTAATGGTCGAGCACCACCTAAGCCACCCTTCTCAGGATCCGGTAATTCTCCAGGTGTTTCAGGCTTATCTTCTATTGAGGTATCAAAAACAATTTGTAATGGTTGTGGTCCTAAAATGATCAATTCTGATTCTCCGCTTTTATCATAAGGATTACATGCTATTATAATTATTAAAAATGATGAATACATACCTGATGGTGGACTTTCAGAATTTCTTGTATTATGCAAAGATGGTGCAGAACGTTTAAGAAGTCTACCCCAGGTAGCAACATTGATATTCATTTGGTTAGCCCGTGGGAAATTTTTAACTTGTTGTTTAAATATTTTACGTTGACGTTGCAATTTAGGTTTCCTTGATATCATTGGATTTAAGAATTTAATTTCAGCAAATAATAATCCTTGAGGCTCCAACTGTAATGCCATTCCGTGTCTCACATCGTCAATAAATTCTTCTAAACGTAAGAATTTCACTGCACACAATGATCTCCAATCTTTCCAATAAATGCCTATTTCGAGTTCCCTTGACTTATCTAGTTCGATAGAAAATCTATAAACAATATAGAATTTTATATTTTACATCTAATATCAAAGGAGAATATTTTTTCTTAATATATTACTGTTATTATATACAAAAACTTAATGAATTTCAGAATAGCTATATTAAGAATTGAATTAAAATAATAAAAATTATAAAAATTATAAAATAATACAAGAGTGATTAATATTCAAATTTTATCAAACAAAATGAAAATAATAACGATATTTGTATAATTTTATATTTTAATAATGAGATTTGTGATCAGTTAATAATACGTTACTTAACTTTTTGAAGCACGGAATTATAAAAAATAAAAAAGAACGGATTGCAAAGAAATTTTATTCTTATAATTACTAGGGAATTTCTATTACATAAAATGAATAAAAATAAAATAAAAAGTTATTTAAGTATTTAATAATAGAGAGTTACATAAATAGTCTCTCCGTGCTGTTGTAAACCGTTGTATTTCAAGTAATTTTAATTTTCTCAAGGCAGTATAAAAAAATATTCTACTATGCATATTTAGGTATTAAAAAAGGAGGTCACAATTAACTCTAATATGCTTCAAAGAGTTAAGATGATTATATAACAATATAATAATATACCTTTGGTCCCAAGCCTGCTGGGAACACGGTCTCCAACTAGTTTGTGCTACGGTTTGATTATCAAGTTTTATAACCGCCATAATATCGTCTGCAATTCATATAACGAGAATTAATAACAATCAATTAAATATCAAACAATTGTATAAATAAAATAGAAAATGAATTTTAACTTACTACTCGTCTCGTCTTTAACACTATAAGATTTACTCGAACTACGTCCTGTTACACCTTTGACAAAGCTACGTAAATCAGGACTGGCAGGGTGTTCTCTTCTCGTACGTCCAGGAACTTCTTCCGCTAAATCTTGGCATCCCATTAATCTTACCTAAAAATATAAGCATACAGATTTGTTAATATAATTAAAATTATTATTTTTATAAAATAAAAATCATATATATAAAATGAAGAATTATTTCAACTTTTTGATTCCATTGTTATATTTTATCAGATATATTTTATTCATTGTTATAATCACTGATATATTTTCAAATAAATCATAGACCTAATTAATAACCATCAATTAAATAATTTTATAAAATAACGTAAGTGTTTACCTCCAATTGCCCAGTGACTGCAGCACATCTAGAAACAGATGCAGGTACGGTAGCCCTGCCTTCTAATGGACCACGAAATGGTTGTAAGGATGTGTAAGTAACAGAAACAGGACTTGCCGACTGTACACTGGCTAGTTCTCTCTTTAATTGGGCAGCGGTACCACTGTCTGGTGGTAATTCTTGTCTTCTAAGTTCAAGAGATAATCTAAGTAAGTCCAATTTTCTACTGGATTCCGCGAGACTTGCCTGAGCCTAGGATAATTCGAACACACACAGTTGATATTATTTAATCGATTTTATCTTTTAATCAAAGAAATAAACTGTAGATAGATAGAGAGAAAGAAAGAAAGAAAGACAATGGAAGGAGGATAATCGATGATACAATGTAAGAAAAAAAAAGAAAGAAAATGATTTGTGTGAAAAATACATATGCACATAGAAACAATATTCGGTAACGATCGACAACAATAGTTAACATTTATTAATAGAACGATCGACGTTACACGATTGTTAAATTATGTAAATGCTTCATAATCAGCAGAATGTTCGACAGCCTTTTTAACACGATACAATAGCAAATAAGAAGATAATAGAAAATTATTATATGTTCTCGTTCTGACGCACTTGGAACACACATTTGATATTATCAATTATAATGAGACGAGTTATACATATATATTATGAATTAATTAATAAATCTATTAATTAATAATAATAATAATAATAATAATAATAATAATAATAATAATAATAATAATATATAATAGTAATAATAATAAGCGTGCACAAAAGTCATAGCAATGTAGAGCTACGTAAAGCTCGAAGAATGAGAATCATTCGAAGAAGCTTTGCTTGAAATTAAAAAAAAAAAAAGAAAAGAAAAAAAATTATAGAAAAATAAACTAAGTATCAATGTTCATAACTTGTAGGAGCTGGTCGAATAACATTTCTTTGGGTGTTGGTTGAACGTGCAGAACGTTTATCGGGTTCACCGAAGGAACACGATCGTTCACGCGTATTATCTTCTTCGAAGTATCGTCTGCAGTGTTCGCAAGAGCAGTTTGGATTTTTAGCAGGACCTACGTGATGACCAGGTTTTCGAAAAGCACCAATTACGGAACCAAAAATCGATGCTTTCACGATGTGATCCGTTCTTTCACCTTGGAGTGTCATAAAGGGAGAGGTCACCCTTGAAGGTACTTTCGAAGGAAGAGGTGAAGGAGTTTTCGAACTAAACAGACCAATCTGATCGCGAAGTTTATACGTTCGTGAGGCAAGTTCACTTCGCGTCGTAGAATCGGAATGATCGTCTATAGGATCGCAACGTTTAGGTTCTTGATGATGTACGACATTTGGGGAAACGTTTTCAGCAGTTTCCGGATTTATTTGACTCGTAGGAGAAACGATATCCTTTTTTTTAGATGCCTCCTCAGAATGATCCTTATTCGCTATAAAGGTCCAACCTACGGTTCCACTGTCATCCGATTCAGCAGCAGTGTCATCAGATGACCAACCGATTTCATGCTTCTCTAAATATTCCCTCATCTTCCTGTTCCTTAATAAATGCTTACGCTCGATCTGCGGTGATCTCCAAGTTTTATCCTTCTCTTCCGGTTCAGTTTTATTACCCCAAATGGTCTCCATTTTACGTATCCTCTCTCGATCGGACGAATTCGCGTATTCGAAACTATCGCATGGGGTCAACGTTGGTTTACCACCATTGACTATAGATTCTATGTCGGAAAATGTATCTTTTGCGGATGTAGCAGCTGCAGAATCGTAATCGTCAGGAAAGGGCAATGCAATCATTGACGATGCTGCAGACCATGGTGTTGAATCAATATCTTTAAGCGCGGTGTAAGAACTAAATTGCGATGGATAAAGAGAACTTAGTAAATCGTCGCTTTCGTAACCTTTCGAGCTAGCCAACGAGGGCATTCTCATGGGAGCGTTTTTGAAACTTTCACATCGTCTCTCAGCAGTTCGCGCGAGAAACGCCTTATTATCTGTAAACCCACGAGGTAAATCGTTATCCGTAGTTTGCTGAGTATGCGTCACTTTGACGTCCTTGTTCTCGAAGACGGTCATCGCAGTGGTTGAACGTTCTTCCTCGCTTGACTCGGTACTACACTCCTCGTCTGAGCCAGTGCAATAAACGTCGATATGAACCGTACGAGATTTACGTTTGGTGTTCTCGTCTACGGTTGATGCATCGGATTTTTCAGTATCCGTGGTAGTTGCTGTAGTCGTTGAAGGTTGCGATGTTGTATCGATCGAAGCTCCAATAGGTGAGTTCTCTTGCTGAAAAAGTTTTAAATATACGATGATTCTTTTGTTGTTCTTCTTTTCAAATTGAATTAAGTATTTCGAATTTTAATTGCTAACGCGATTTTGTTATACCTTCTTTCTCTTTTGTTCATCAGCCAAGTATATATCCAATGCCTTTCGTCTGACTTTCCCTGTTTTCGATGTAGTCAAGGAGGAAGACCGAGATTCAATATCCGTCGTTTGCGAAGATGCATCTTTACTAATGGTCGTTCTTTTGTTCGCTGTTTTCTCTAACACACGTGTACAGAAATGAGTGGTAAATGGACTCGCAGTACTACCTTCGGCACAATCTTCACAGACTTCAGGTACGGTACTGAAACGTGAACGAGCAGAGACGTGTTGTTGTTGTTGATGATTATGATGATGATGATGATGATGGGACGCCGCCATTCGATGGGAATGCCAGGGTGGCCGATCAGCTTCCAATGTGGAAAATTTCAAAGGTTCTCTCGTTTGTGATCTCGTAGTTATAAACTCGTCGTTACTTAAATTCTTCTTAGGATCAAACGCGGCGAGAACGATGTTACATGTACTCTTACAGCGTCGATTATATTGTTGCGAGGATCGACGGGATGGTAAACTCGAATAAGATTGTGGTGAAAATCGTTCACTGTTGTATCCGGAATCATTGAATCCTCGATTTATTGACAAATTCGAGTCATCTTTCATTGAGAATCCTGAACGCGGAATTGTAAATGAACCAGATGGTTGACTTCTTGGTGGTGGTGTTGACGTGAACAATATATTCCCACGTTGGAACCCATAAGAATTCGGTGGTATTGTACCCATCGATGGAGTCATCGAAGGTACTGGTGCTGTTGTTGTTGTTGTTGTTGTTGTTGATAGAGGATTAATATTTGGCTGGCTAGTATTCCAACGATATATCATCCTCACACCATTGGAATCAGTCAAAGTTGATGATGCACCTACCGGTGACTGTCCAGAATCCGAATTGGTTTGAATACCGCCATGACGAATCGTAACTTCTGCTCTGACCAACCATGGTGGTGGTGGTTGTGGTGCTGTTGCTGCTGCTGTTTCTGAACATCTCGCATCAGCATCTTGCGATCGTTTTCGATCGTCTTCTTTCTCTTTTTCACCTCCGTACATCCTACGATCGTCCTCTTCTTCAACCTCTTCCACGCTGTCATCCACCGCAGGACATCGTCAATTCCTGAATAACTTACGACTGCAATCGGCCAGGAAAGGTTTTCACGGCTTGTCGAGATTTCTGCTTGAAGATTTCTCCTTTTCGCGTTCAACGTTGTTCTTTTCTTCATGGATTTGACGGGTGTCCTCTTCTTCCACGCGTTAACGGGGAAGACACGAGGAAGTAAGATCGAAAATAGTTTTCTTTTACGATTACGATGTTGAGATCTCGTAAATTGTGTGTTAACTATTGAACAACGAAAAAACAAAAGAATCACTCACACTGCCATTCGTATAAGGAAGTAGGAAATTTCCAAGTTATATTGCGCCTCTCCAATTTCTATTTTTGGATTACAGTTACCCCTCTTTCTGTCTTTCTCTCTCTCTCTCTTTTTCTCTTTCTCTTTCTCTTTCTCTGTGTGTTCGGGAACTGTTTGTTGTATATCAGTTATTTCGTTATTACGAAATTTTTCGTTCTTGTAATAGACGTAAAGAACGCGTAGGTAAGTTACTATTGGCTTAACCAAATACAACACGACAATTATTTATTGGCGCAAGCGCGTATTAGCTTTTCAATAATGTAACATCTCTAATCATATGATCGGTTGCTGAGTGAAATCTTCAAAAAACATCAAATTGTATTCCTATCGCCAACCACCAAAGCGACAACAAAGCAAATTGATAAAGCGACGACACGACATATAATTAGCACAATATAAATTTGGAACGACGTGTGTCGGTTGGCGGGCACATAAATATAACTCAAGTCGTACGATCAGTTGAATTTCTTTATTTTCTGCTTGGATTATGTGGCCCCCGAGTGTTTCTGGACGATTGCCGTGTAAATAATATCACAGACGCGAACGAACGTTTCTCTTTTGAAATATTTTTGTAAGAAAAAAAAAAAAGAAAAAAAAGAAAAAAAAAAGAAAAAGAAAAAAATATTTTCCTCACACGAAACTTTGTTTTATTTTTCTTCTTCTTCTCTTCTTTTCTTTTCTCTTCTCTTTCTTTCTTTCTTTTTTTAAATTGAACGTTTATTCCTGGAGGTTAAATGATTTAGAATAGGAATATAACAAATAAAGAAGAAAAATGGCCTATTCAGTCTTCTCAATGGTTCCAAAAGGAGAGTGTTGTTTCTTCTTTTATCAAGAGTTAATCACAGTAAGCCAACAAACAGGCCGGATGCGAGGAGAGTCAGTCAGTCTTCGAATTGAGGTCAAGCAGCAGTTTCGCGGCTTTCAATTATCCAAGCTTGGGAAAAATATTATCTCTCGGTGTTTTATTATATCCTTCGAAAGATATGATATCCCACCTCGAACAACTACTAGTTATTGAATGATTGGTACACATGTCGTCGTCGTTCGTTTATCGCGTTACTCCAAGCGACTGGATTGAGCCAGTTCTCCTCGAAAGATGGTAACTAAGCGCGACCCGAAAAGGCGTCACACAGAAGGGGGTAAGGGGGAAAGTCAGGGGATTTGCCCGTGCTATTTTGAGACAGTCGAGTTATACATATAAACCGTGCACCTCCTCAAATTCCCCCCCCCTCCCACTCCTCTATACCCCTCAACTTCTACATCATCCTACTCGTCGTCGTCTTTTCCTAGTCTTCGTCTTCATTTTCATTTTCGTTCTCTTCGAAGAGTCAACTAATATAAGAGGAAAAAAACAAAAAAGAAAGAAGTAGATATCGCGAGAAGAAGACTACTCTTAACTCAACGGTATTTCATTTCTTGATAGTCCAAAATCGTTCTCGAGGTTCTAGATTACTATGAAGTGTATATATGTATGTATTATCGAGTAACTGAAGATCTAAGAAAATCAACATTTTTATAGTTTAAATGTGTAGAAACTAATGAATCATGGGATCGAGACTGGACTGTGATTTGAATTTGGATCATTCAAATTTCGAGTGGGGTACTTTAACCAATTGAGATAGAGTCTAAGAGAATTCCCTATAAAATTCATTCTTTAGTAGCATTCTTTATTTATTATGTTAACATTTTCTACTGATAAACTTCTATATTTTGATTAATATTCATGAGATGTGTGTGACTCTATTCAGATTTTTAACGATTTACTCCATTAATTCTTAAATTACGATGTAGATTTTAGGGAATGTAAACTTCATTAACAATTAATAGTTGAAATAATTTAAAAGGATTCCTATAATATGTATTTTTTAGTAGCGTTTGTATTCATTATGTTAAGAAGACAGTGTATTGATAAAATTCTATATAATGGTCAATATCGATGATATGTTTCTACTTTGTCTGTTGTTTTTTAACGATTAATTTGATTATAACCTAAATTATGTAGTATGTGGATTAATAATTTATTTGATTTCATTTGAATGTCTACTTGGAATGAATCCAATTTGAATATTCGGGTAATTCGACTTGCCGTGCAAAATTATCCGACTATTAATATAGCTCAACAGATTCGAATTGTTTCAACGAGTGTAATTTCACTTTTGAAATTATTGGCTTATTAAAAATGAGAACGGATATAACCTAAATTTAAAGCTAGATCTTTTTATTATGTATTTTTGATTGATTAAATTGATCTAACATAAGAAATCCTATAAGATTTTTTAGTAGCTTATTTTATTTATTATGTCAACATGGCGTAGTATCAAACTTCGAAATTTTTATCAATATTAACGATATATCTGTTAACATAATCTAATACCTGTTATTTATCGGTTCATTTTATATTCTCAAAATATGTACTACGAAATTTAACAATGCATTTAATTAAGTGTAAATGATTACTATGGTTAATATTGACGATTTACCTGCTCATATAACCTAAAATAGTCACTTGAAAATTTATTTGATAATTAACAAAATTATGCACTGCGTTATTTAGCAGCGAATTTAATTAGATCTAAATGATTATTTGGAATAATTTAAGATATGATTTAATTTGCAATGAAACTATTATCTACTTCATTTCGGTCAATATTGACGATTTATCTGTTCACATAACCTAAAACAGTCATTTAACAATTCATTTAATGATCACTATAATTAGGCACTAGTGTTTAATAATGAATTTAATTACATTTATATAATTATTCTTGCATTTAAATATGATAAAAACGTTTTTCTCTAATATTAATTTAGATTAAAAGCTTCGGCTTATTATAACGAATGTAATTTCATTTATGAAATTATTAGGGCACAAAAAATAGATTATAAATGGACCAGGATTAAAACCTGAATCCTTTTATTTTGCATACGGTACTTTGACTATTTGAATCAATCTAATGGGACCTATACAATTGATTTTTTTAGTAATTTTCTTGTTTATTAATTCAACAGTATACTTATAAACTTCTAAAGTCTAATTAATATTGACGGTACGCTCATCCTAACTTGTATTTTTACAATTCATTTAAATAATTCAACGAACAATACAAATTAAATTGATTTTACAGTTCAATAATTATTAAAAATTTATTCAATTAAATATGACTCACTAGATGAACTAGATCCAATTTTCTCTACTAGCTCGTTATGCATACAAAGTTATTCTCAAAGCAATTAACAGATTCGATAAGTTAATAACGAGCGTATCCTAGTTTCGAAGCTATTAACGCTCGAAATATGGGCTACGGCTGATTCGAAATTGAAACCATAACACTATTTATTTTGAAAAAATACGGTGTTAAATATAATAAATTAAATTATTACCTAAAACCCCATTAAATTTATTCCTACGTAATCCTTTAATTTTATCAACATAGTATCCTTGTAACTTCTACATTTCCGTCAAATTCTAATTTTACATCTTTTTGTTTGAAACTTTTCCGTTCCAATAATTCATTTGATCATCCTAACCTATAAAAGATTGAATTTAGTTTCAAAAACTAATTAATTTATATAATTCAATCTAACTTGTTACATATCGATTAAATCAAATTTGAATATACCTGAATAACTTGACTAACTACATCCAAAGTTATCCAACTATCAATATATCTCAAACCTATTAACAGATTCGATTTACTAACAGCAGGTGTATCCTAATTTCAAAATTATTGATGTACCGAAAAAATAGGCTACGTATAGATCTAAATTTAAATAAGATCGTAAATCTGAATTTCAAATGCAATGGTTTAACCAATTGAGTTATACTAACACCCTATAAACTCAATTCCTTCGTAATTACTCATGTCAACATTACATACAATAATTCTTACATTAATATGCTGTGCATTTTGTAAGAATTCACCTGACAACTTTTAAACAATCTTTCAGACAACGTAGTACGAAATGAACGATGAGTTTAGCGATCATGTTCACGTCGAACGGATGAAATCAATAGTACCTGTTTGATGTTCTACCTTTTGTATGTACGTATAACAAAAGGCTTTTCATCGAACCCCACGTGAAGTATATACGAGCTTCTAATTTCCTTCTTATTCATATATCTACGTGCATATGTATTTATGGTACGTATGTACATCGTATTATGTGTTATGTGTAATCCATATGGAAGATTGAAAAGTGAGATAGAAGAAGAATACGTACTTCCGTCAGAGCCTTCTTATCAGCAACTTTGGCACTTTGCAGAAGACGTATTACATTCTTTGCACCTTCCACAACAGCTGCTTCAATTCTAAGCCGGTGTCGTAACTCTTCGACACGTTCTTCCAATGCAAGCTCCAAACTGGGCTCGTACCTATCTGCAAAAATCATTGAAAAATAATCCTTGAGTTTACATTCATACAAAATAAATCATCCATTTTATAGTTTTCTCTTGTGTGATTATATATAAATAATATATATTATATAATAATTAAAAATTAATAAATAAAAAAAATCGTGCTCCAAGTTATAAATTGGGTGACCAAAATAGCTGATATCCGAATTTGTTTGTGTCGACAAACTTTTGAGATTCGAACTTGACCTTTTCGTAATCTTGACGCCACCCTGACTTGAGCCCAACAAAATTTCCAACCCGATCTGAGCCAATTGTTCGCACGAGAATATGCCGAAAATATTTTAACACTAATGTAAAATCACAAAAACTAATCAAAATTATTAATTTAAGTTAAACGAAACTCAACTTTGTTTCTTTTTTTTTCTTTTTTAATTTTAAATACAGATAAAAGGGTTTATTTTCCTTGTGTAATGTATTGATTTAATTATCTGCCATTTTGATTGATCTAGAAAAAATTATCATGACGAATAGTGGAGAAAAAATGATACATGAAATATATAAGATAGTATTTCTTTGAAATAATGATTATTATTATTATTATTAGTATTGCATGAGACAAAGGAGACTAATCTTTTTGGCAAATAAAAAATAAAAAAAAGAAACAACACTATCAAATTCAATCTTCAAACAAAAATGTTTATATAGGATTTTTAGGAAATAAATTAAAATAATTTCGTCACTATAACAATTACTCTTACTTAATGCGATTAAATGGAACGATCACTAATATAAATAATAAAGTTTTTTTTTTCATCAGATAAATCTAAGATCATGTCGATTTTTTCTTATATTTCTATAATAATCATACATTTACTATGAAAAATGAATTTTAATAGATTCATTTTTCTTTTTCTTTTACCACTGTTCTACTTTTAAAAAATAATAATGACTAATCTACATTTTTTAGATCTAATGGTCTATTTAATACGGATTTTTTAATATTAATTTCATTATATAAATTGGGCATAAATGTATTTTCATTAAAATTTGACTTTTCTAATTTTATCCATTAAATTTGAAGACAATATACTGATAACCACGTAACTGTAACTTTTCTATTATCGAAATAATTTTCTAATGTTTAAATTGAAAAGAAAAATCCTGGTAGGTCAATTAAATCACATGAAATAAAATCTTACTTTTACTTTTTTTGATTATATCGTATCAATCATTTGAGGAAACAATATTTTGGATTTTGTTTGCATGTTATATTCGATAACAACAAAATCTGAATAATCAGGCAAATAATTATATTCATTTACTACAAAATTTTATTTCAATTGATTCAAATTGTTTTTCTATACTTAGAGCCAATTTCAATAAATCTAATACAATTTTGATATTTCTATTTTATCCAGTGCATAAATTTTAGTATGTTATCATTTTTTGATTATTTTAATTGGGTATGATAAAATATTAAGAGACCCACGAGACTCCACTTTTCATGCGAGTGTAAATTTGATATATATATATGAGATCACATTAAACAATTTGAAGTTCTTATGTATGATAATATCTATCATCGTATAAAAAAAAATCAGAAGTATTTAATTTATTAGAATTTACACTTATACAAAATTAAATTAAAAAATTTAGAATTATTTTATATATTACCATATATTATTTAATAAATTAAATGTTATAATATAGAATTATTTTATTATATTATTAATTTAATTTATAGAAGTATATTAATGGTGTTAATCGAATTGGCTTTTAAAATTGTTCATTTTTCATTGACCAAAAAAAACTTGATCAATATGTTAATAATCATAAAATTGAATATAAAAAGTTAACAATTCAATTCTTGGACAGTAAAACAATTAAAAAAAAAAATACAAAAAGTAAAATTAAATCGAGTTGCCAATTCCAAGTGTTAAAGACAGTTGCCAGTATCCACAGAAACGGCACTTGCAATGCAAATGAAAGGTCGCCTTGACGGAGGTAACCGAACTTGTATAGATAGGATCAGTAAAACATTGTTGTTGGCGGACGTTTGCCAGAGGTATCGCAACGAATCAAAAATATTGCGCCAGAAAATGAAGGAAATTTAACTGACACAGACCGGAACTAATGCGACAACAGGGCCACCCGCGTAATAATGTGAAACGATTCAAATAAAAGATTACGTTATTGAGATTGATTAATTACTCTAATTAGACTGTTACGAATTTGATTGCACGTAAAATAACGTTATAAAAGCATACGGAATTTATGCTCATCAAATATGCAGCACAATGCGTGTATGGGGATTTTATGCGCGTCAAATATGCAAAAAGCATAATATATAATATAGAACTTGTACACTTGAAAATATGCAAAAAGCATATGGGATTTATGCACGTAAAATATGTAGGAAGCGTATGAGAGATATATCCTACCGTTTATAAAATATGAGTATACGCATGAAAAATATGTGCATATAAATGCATGGATATGTTCAACATAGATTTATTGGTTATTTCGCTAGTTCCATCATAAATCAAATTTCATTCACCTATACTTTTAATCTACTTTTATCTAACATTCTCTTTTTTACTCTTTCTCTGTAAATTGAAATATAATATTATTTTATGATTAATGTTATAATTAAATTGTGATAGTTTACAGGACAATATTATTTATTGCTAATGTATATTGAAATATTGTAATTAATAATAATAATAATAATAATAATGATTTCGATTGAAATGATTAAATATTGAGAATGATTTAGGACGGTAAGTTTGAACATGATTGCACTGTAAATAACTATGGTTGTACTTGCTGTTCTTTTTAAGCCTCGGCTGGCGCCTCGGCCAAAAGTATTCAGGTCTCGTATTACAAAATATTATATATTTTCGGTCTAGACATACAAATTACTATTGTTTATTAAATAGGCTATTAAAAGTCACCACAAGACAATTACATTAATCGATGACGTAATTTAAAAGAAATTGTTAATATAAATATAAAAATGTGAATATTGTTAAGTAACAATTAATGTATAGTATAATAATTAAATTACTTTCTTTCTCTAATTAATTTTTTTTTCTAAATTGAAAATATATATAAATTTATGTAAAATAAAAATCATAATGATAGAATAATTAGAGGTTATAAAATAATTATGTTAACAAAAGAAAAAAATTATAACGAGTATTCATAAATAATGGATAATATTTCGATTTATAATAGTTTTTGGTTGTTCTTATGTTAGTATTCTTCTTTAAATAAAAGTAAAGATATCAAATTTCAATAAATTGACTAATTGGAACATGTCTATCGTAACCTTTTTTCAAGATGGTGTCAATTTAGGAATAGTGCGTATATATTGTAATACGCGGAATCGAAATTAATTATTAATATTGTTAATCAATTGTGTTACCCACAAGCTTTTTATTTCTAAAGCAATTATAATATCACAGTAACATAAATTTTAGAAAACCCAAATTGTAAAGAAAAATAAAAAGAATCATAAAAAAAGTAAGTAGCAAAAATAAGTAAAACACTTGAAGAGCGTATCGTAATTATTTTTGATTGTTTTTGTAAACAAAACTTATCTTTTTGTATTTTCTTAACAAAATAAAAAAAAAAAAAGGAAAAGCAAATTAATCAAATAAATAAATAAAATAATTGTATAAGTTAAGAATAAAATATAAAAAAATTATGTGTAAATAGTGGAAATGATATAATTAATTTAAATTAAAAAAAAAAGAAAAATGTTTTTAAAATTTTAAAAATATTTTTTAATATTATTGATCATTTTTGTGAAAAACTTATATTATTATTTAATACCTTTATTGCCAGTTGATTCGCCATTAGGAGGTGGCGCGTCACCTCGAGCATGTTGTTGTTGGCGCGCTTGTCGCACCTTCATTATGCGCATGCGTAGGAACTCGATTTTAGCGCGGGAATCATCGAGCATCTGCTGAGCTTCTTGAAGTAATTTCTTGTCTCTGTGACCACTCGTCAAACTTTGTATCATATTCTCCGCGCCCTGTTTTACCTACAACGATAACAAAAAATTCTATAAATAAATAAATTCATAAATAAACAAACAAACATAAAAATAATCTTCGAATTCTAAATTGGTATTAATAAGTGATTTTTTTTTTTACATATACAGTAGGATCTTAATTAATCATCGTGATTTGAAAAGATATATAAATTATAATTATTATTATTATATTACATTAAAAAATTTTACTCTACGTATTTATTATAAAAAAATATTAAAAATATAACAGTATATATATTTGTACGTATATAAATAAATATTTACAGTAAGTGCCAAGAATAATTTCGTACCTTTTTGTCAATTTAAAACCATAAATATTTTCTTTTAATACAATATCTTCAAATTCTTATACAGAGAAACATATGTGTGTGTGTTAGAAATATTAAACTTGTCAATTTATATAAATTTTATTGTAAAAGTCTTTTACAATAAAAGATGTAAAATTTTACGTAATTGATAAAAAGATTGGTCTTGTAAGATACATTCAATTGTCTCAAAAGAATTAGAAAATTTTAAAGAGGAGGAACAACCAAGTATTATTTACAAAAATAATGATTGTATTTTCGATAAATCTTACGTAGATGCAAATATTATTGAGTGGACTAATGTTTGATCATTTAAATAAAAATTTGCATTATAGTGAAATCTCATTAAATTATAAACAGCTTCGTTTTTCACCAATCAGGAATGCCCTCCCCCCACCTCTCTCATTAGTTTCAAGATTGTTTTATATTGGTAGCATTTGATTGGTTTATGCTCACTACCATACATATAAAAATGTGTTGTTAAATAGTATACGCACGCGTTTGTAATATTTTATGATCAGATGAAAGATATTTTTTCCAGATTATAGAAGAAGATTTGAAAGAATAATTAATTTTATTAGTCAGACACATTCAGTGACAGTAGAAAGTGGTGGTGATGGTAATGCTGAAATTGGCGGGAAATAGTTTACGAAAAACGAGGTTTGCATTTAACGAAATTTTACTGTATAAACAAATATCAATTATTTTCAAATTTACAATAAGAACGGGTACGAATATTCCTGTTACTATATATATATATATATTTATTCGTTTTTATTATTATTATATAAACATATAATAAATGAAGATACTCTTGTATATAAAATTATTCGCACAAAGATGAATAATTCTTCCATGAAAAGAGATTGAACGCATGATGATAATGATAATAATAATAATAATGATTATAATAATGATGATGATCATGATGATGATGATGATGATCGATACGCTCTAATTGTTTTAAGCAAACGGAAATAATTTGCTACATGAAGAATAGTATATCATGTTCTTTCTAATACTTTTTTTTAAACGCGCATAGAAAAATGATATCGAATAAATGCATATCCTAAGAATAAATGTTTGCAACTTACGATCTGTTGTACATAAAAAAGAAAGAAAAAAAAATTTATGTACCGTATAAAATAAATTTCAAGCATCTAATTAAACTTTATAATTAATAAACACCATTAAAGTAGCTTCTCGATAAGCCATTATGGTGTTGCTCACAATCAAATATTATTTTTAAACATATAATTTCATTGTTTTAAAAGTTAACGTTGTTTATAAAATGTTAAATGTGTTAGTTGCAAAAATCATTGAACTTGTCATTATTGTTTACCTTAACAGACGTTTTGATACACATGTTTTATTTTTTAGCGTCTACAGCTAAATATTTCGACGTAGTTAAAAGATTAATTGTGTCAACAATTATGAACGTGGTCTTATAGTTAAAAATTTAAAAAAAAGAATAAGTTTATTAATTATTACACATCACATTATTTGAAACCAAAATTAATTCAATATAATTTTCACGATATTGTGAAAAAATAAACCTGTAGATAATTTTTGTTATATTTCAATATTATTATATAGAAATTTATATAGTGTTCAAATGTAATCCTTTAAAATATCTCGAAACAAAAGATATATCATTTAGATCACTTTCATAATTATGGGCACAAATTAACAATTAAAAAATGAAACTGAAAATAGACAGACCTTTCTAACCAAACGCTTCGCCATTTTCATTGCACTTCTGTCAAAGGCTGTCAGGTTACTATGCCTCTTTACCAAATATTTCTAAGTATTCTCTCTAACGCTATCATCCTAACAACTAAACCTATTAGCCAACTAACTCGGTGAATACTCGGTGACGTCAGGTGAATCCATCTTTACGTTGGTATCTAGTTAGAAATCGATCAAATTAGCAAGCAAACAGTTAAAAATTCGTTGACGTTCGCGAGTTGGCCAAATGCCATTAAATCGATACTTCGTATCATCCCTAATTTGCTGACAAAGTTAGTCATTGTGACTTATATCGATTTCTTTCTAATACGAATTAAAAACACGAAATAATATATTTTATTTTGTATGATTTCATTTTATTTTTATTTAATTCTATTATTATCTGGATTAATCTTTTTTTTTTTTTTGTAAATATAGGTCTTTCACTCTTTTGCAAATCACTTTTACTTTTTTTTGCAAATTAAATTTAATTGTTTGCGAATAAAATGTATTCCTTTGTTAATTCGATTAAACTTTTTGGACAAATTGAAATTGCATTTCTGCAAGTTAAATTAATACTTTTTGCACATCAAATTAAACCTATGGCAAATTAAATTTAATCGTTTAAAAATTCAGGTTTTTCTACAAAATTTTTCGCTCAGATTTTTATCCTTTTTTTTTTTTTTTTGAGTAAAAAGAAAGGAAATAATCTTTGAAAAATACACAAAAATGCAGCAATCACAGTCTATTAAAATTATTCATTGAACGATCAACGATCTATGTACATTTGTATAGTCCAGTTGTTAAATAAGACTTTCTTTTCTGTTTATAAATTTTTTTGTATATTTATGTACATTTTGAGGTTATTATTATGATAAATGGCAATTGTAGATGTTTCAATTTTACAATTACATCCAAAAATCCTTAAATTTGATAATAAAGTTAAAATTAGTTTAAAATTCGTAGCATGAGTGCTAAAAATTTGACAATTTATAAAAAAGAAAATTAAAATTCTGTTATGACACTAATAAAATTTTCATGTAATATTTCATGTATACTTGTTTAAAGATCATTTCACTTTCATTTATTAATTTTTTTAATACATTTATTTTTTCCTTTTATAAAAGTTATAAAAGAATTTAATTTCTAAAAGATTTAATTTGATTAAAGAAACGTTAAATTTTTATAAAAATAAATCTTTTAATATATGTCGCAGAAGATTAAAAGAAAATAATTTTGTAGGGAAACTTAATTTGCACGAGAATTTGAATTTGATTAGTAAAAAGTTGTATTTTGATTTGTCAAGAATTAAATTTGAAATGCACAAAACATGTATGAATGAAATATTTTACGTAAAACCTTAATACTACTTATAATAAAATATTGAATTTCTTTAACAATAAACTTACATTTATTTTAATTTTTATTGCTAAAATTTAATAATTTTAATAGAAAAAAAATAATCAATTTGCAAAAAGATAAATTTAATTTGATAAAACTTGAATGAAAAAGTATAAAATCTATATCATAGGATTAAGAAAGTTAATTGAAAATCATGCATCATTCGTGATAATTTATTTCCACAGTTTCATGACGCAACTAAAGTCTATCATTAGCAGACAAAAAATGTCTCAACGCTGACTCATGACTAATGCGGCCGCAAGGAAAATCAACTAGGAGGACTATTATCATCGTTGAGAGTTGATTTGAGTGAATTCACGTTGACATTTCGAGATAGCTTATCAACATTTGTGTAATAATAAATTTTACGAAAAATAAAACACATACGCACATTTATAATACATACATAAATAGGGTAATACCCAGTTACTGATGAGTTTTCAATTTTGTCAGTATATTTTTGTACTGATCTGAATAAAACAAATCAAAAATTGTTCACAAAGATACGAGTAATGTTAATTTATTCGTTTGGAGACTTGTATTAAATATTTTTTTTTTTTCAATGAATACGAATTTTATTCGCAATATTTATATAATAATCATATTTAAAAAATAAAAAAGAGATGTATATTTTAAATATTTATATTTTGTTAATATTGTGATAAATATGCAAGAGAGCATACATTTTTGATCGATATTGCGAATAAAATTAATGTACATTGAAAAACATAGAACCAGTTTCAAAATGGTGGATTAACGTCATTCTATTCTGTGTAAACATAACCTATTTGAGGATTGAAATTAATTCAATCGGACTTGTATGGAATTTAAATATAATAAAAATTGTTTAGAAAAATACTAAACAAATAAATTCATGTAGGAGTTATCGGAAATAATCCTTTTCATACATGATGCAGTAGATTCATGCATATTCACAAGTTGAACGAGTACTTCAATAAAATTTTATTGAACCGTATATGGTGTATAAGGTTAGTATAAATGAATAAAAGTTTTATTAAAAAGTTATGAATACAATATATGGAATATAAAAGAAACGATATCAATTTTACGGCTACTGTGATAAAAATATAAAAATAAATCAGCAATATTTATATTTAGTTTGTTTATATGAAATTTGTTTACTTGCTGAGGTCGTCAGGGTTACATCGAGTTTACGTCATAATGATTATCATATTTGTTGAAAAAAAAAAGTTTCAAGGTCATTTCAAAGTAAGAATTATATTTTTAGCAATTCCAAAATTAATGAATATATTTACTTTATTTAAAGATGGCTACACCGTTCTTGACAAGTTACAAGTTTAACAATTATTGTGAAATTGCATTTATTATTCTATGAATTTTATTTTTATTTAATTTCATTCAATGTATCATTAATTTTTTGTATCAAATTATCACGTAAATGTTTCGAAAATTAAATTTATTTCTTTACGAATTTCATTTTTATCTCTGGTCTCATTTTATAGAATTTATCATAAATTTTTGTTATCAATTCATTACAACCAAATTTATGATAAACTTGTTTGATAAACTTTTTTTTTCCAAAGTCTCGAAAAATAAAATTTGAAAGGCATGAAATTAGATGACCTTGGAGGTCAAAATGTTATCACATTCCGACCTTTGAGAATTGATTATTTAATAATCATTATCCGCGCTAACAAGCATAATTTTATAATGAAGCTTTAAACATTTTTTTATGTAATATTTTTTTGTTATTTACATCCATAGAATATAATGGCAAAATTCGGTTATTAAAAACTAGTACACTCTGTTTAATAGAATGGTCATTATTTTGCATCTTATAAATGCAATGCCCACAGTTCAATTTAAAACAGATAAAGAAAAAAAAAATTCTTTTAAAATTTCAACGTCATTTATTTAAATAATTAAAAAACGTGTTCAAAAATGCTAATTTTATTAAATTTAAATAATACAGTAATGTTAAATACTTTTAAACATGAGATTTACTAAAATAAGTAAAGGAAACTTTAAAAATATAACTTTTGTAAAAATCTTATACGATTTCAATACTAGAGAAAAAATATGCACTTTTTGATGAATTTTAATATCAAGAAAAAAGGCTGAAATTTGGAAATGATTTCTATTTATTTATTTCGAATTAAACCGGAAGTGCATTTATCTAAATTTCTTAGAAAACCAAATAATAATTTTTTATTGTCTATATTTATTATTTATTATATTCATATACTATATTAATTGTGTGTTTATATAATATATATAATAATATTTTTATATTATTTTTTCTAAAATATGTAACTGTTTTTATCTATTAATATTTCTATATATACAAGCTTATGTTTATAAAGAAAAAACAACGAAAAAATAATAATAACAATAATTTAATTACCTTTAATTCGATGTTAAGTTGTTTTTCCAAAGATAAAAGTCGAAGATCCGTGAACAGACCTTCCTGACTCGGTGACGAAGGCCCCATTGGTGACAGAGGTGTGTCTAAAATAAAAATAGTCATTGTATCTCTTAGCGGAAATGAATATCTAGTAATGAAATTCTTTTATGGTTATGCCCTACCCAGTGTCTCATGAACTCGACCGATCAACGTTTATCATTTTTATTATGCTTCGTATATTTATCATAAATAAATATAAAAATTGAAAAGATTTTTCAGAGTATCTGTATTCTCATCTAAGGTGTGTCAAAAATTTCAAAGTCTGTAATTTAACAAACCGAAAAACAAATATTAGCCTATAATGTTTCACACATTTTTTCATTCAAACAATTTTACAAATTATTTCAAAATTTTTGACTCACTCTATATAAAACGATTTTGTAAGAAGGGCTTACCGTATAGTACAATTTACAAATTAAAGTAATATTTGTTTATCAAAATACTTTTAAATGTAACGTTTTGATGGAATCGATTAATGCTCAAAATATTTTTCTACAAAACAATGAAGATAAATTTGTAATAATAAATACATTTTAAAGAATATATATAAAATTAACTTCTTG